TGACTTCAGAAGGAAAAATAAGTCTAACACTCTGAAGCACCTTGCTGAACTCGCAATGCAAAAGCAACTGTGCTCTGAGCTCCAGTCCCTCTGCTACACGGCTTCCTAACTTGTGTCTCAAATATGCATTACAAGGGTTACACACAAGAATAATCTCAAAACCTGTCCAAGTAGAAAAGGGACGCTAACATTACAAGTTTTCCAAGAATTTAGGGCTTCTCTATAAAACCAGCCTCTACCCCCAGAAGATTAAGGAAAGCCAAGTCACTCAAGCAGAATGCACGTGATTTTTTTTTTTTTTTTTTTGACTGCCCAGCTGAACAAGCAGCCCTGTTAATGCAGTTAAAGGAAAACCACTAGTATTATGAATGACTACAGTTTTCACAGCCACGAGTAATGCAAGATGCAGGCTTGCTGGCTTTGCCTCGAAGCAAAAATTGTCAAACCACTCTCCCATTGCTATGCACACAGGGCACTTCAACTGGTGATTCCACCTTCTCAATTATTCAGGAAAACATATTCCCCGAACGCGAGTTGTGTACACATCAGAACAAAGACTTCAAGAATACCGCACTGCATACTATAGGTGCATGCAAGCACAAACACACAGCTGAGCAAAGTGCTCGGTCTCACCTTAACTCATACAAGTTAAGCATCACCAAAAGCAACTCCATTATGTCCAAAGTGTTGCAGAGGCCTCAGAGCGAGTTACATACACCACACAAATTAGAGCACCTAGGTACACAACAGGGCACCATAAGGTTGGTCTTCACTTTAATTTATGCTGCCTATTCTGTTTTCAGCTACCAGCACTTTATTCTCACCATGCTCTGGTGGCCATTTCTCTCACTGACTTAAAGCAGTCCTTCTAATTCCTCTTTTTTTAGGTCAATGACTAAGAGTGAATGGCGGCAGTTCCCTTCCTGTTAAAAGGATCCTAAGTGTCCAGGTCCATGGTAGAAGGCTACCCAAGTAGTAATATTGCAAGGCTACAAAATAAGGCCTCTAGGAAGCATGCTAGGTTCAGGCAGGATTCAAAAAGGAAAGAAATTAGATTACATAGCAACTTTTAGGCAAACAGAGTACCTATTAGGCTTCTAGTATTGTTTTGAACACATCTTCTTGAAAATGATACAGAACCAAGGAGAGAAGAACCAGCACATTTTTCTTTTTATCAAGCTGTATAAGTGCTTGTATTACTACGGTAAGAGACGGCAACTTCTGCATCACATTTCTCCAAATGGCCCTTGCTTCATTCTGAATACCTGGTTAAAATCCTTTCTTTTGGGAGAGAAGAGTTAAAAACACGGTTGTAATCACAGAATATTGTACATTTAAGGACTCCAATGACAGTTTCTTGCATTCCAAGTTTCTTCCAGCAGCTATCAGTGTCTGGAGTCCTTGGAACAGATGTTCTGCATGCAAGTCACTACTGTACGATTCCAGCTGCACATTTTTAAAGTCGAGGGCTATATTTTTTCACAATGATGATTCCTTAAAGATTCCAGATTAAGACCCCTCACCTATTTTAGTAGTAACAGAGTATTTTTGCTAAGCTACAGATCAGTTTTACTATATTTGCTAGCACAGAGGTGTTGAATTTAACTGATTCTGAAAAGGGAAAAAAAAGTGGTTTATTCCTGCCGTGTCTGTTTTAAGATAAACACCACCAACCCTTCAAATCCCTCAAGCGCTGTCAAATGTTTACTTTTCCTGCTGATAAAGACTTGGCAAGGCAGTAAGGTCAGCTCGCAATACCTTCCAGTTGGGCCCCAGAGGTCCTCTTTTGGTCTTGACTGACTGGAATAATGCTGGGTCCTCATCAGCTTTGTAATCCTGCGAAACAAAATAAAAGAAAGGAAGAGACTGTTAGAAAAAGAGCTGAGCTGCATCACCCAGCACTGCAAAGCACCACTTGCAAACCACCAGCCTCGGGTCTCGGGCAGCACCAGAGCCGGGTTCTGCCTTGCCTTTGGTACCCCACACAGACTGCTCCGACCTCGCCCGCACAAAGCGGTGCTTGCTGCTCTTCCTGATTCGCATTACAATTATACTCAAAGGCCTTTTCTGGACCACATTCCTCTTGGTAAATCACTGTACAAGGGCAAGCAGATCCCTTCCCTGGCTCAAAGAGCTTACAAGAACTACGAGGACCTGAGAAATACAAAATGCGAGGCGGCAAACAAATGCACATTGTATACAGACATTGTTCCGTGCTGCACATAAACACCAATTTTCCCCAATGACCCCTCAATCTAGCCATCAGACACTGGCATCTTCTAGGAGACATGGCAAGAGCAGATATACTTGTGACAGGAAAGGAGGAGGACATTTCCGGACAGGCCATGTGCTTTAAGCATTCCCTTTCAAAATGGAAGGGGTGGTATTTCTAACCAGATCATTCAACACAGAGCGGCATCCAGGTTCAAGAATAAAATTAGAAAGTAACTAAAGGTCATGACTGCTGCAAGATAAAAGTGTACTGTAAGCATTTCTAGAGCCCTCCTCACTGTAGGCTCTGATTAAAATGTTTAGGAGGTTGGGACTAATGGGTGGGGAGAATAAGGAAATGAGCAGAACACCCAGCAGCAGCAGCAGCGAGGGAAAATGAAGAATACTGAGCTGAAGCAAATGTCTGGAGAGCACCAGTGTGAAGAGACCCTCACACTATGTGAGCATTCCTGTGGAGCTGGGCATCACTTCAGATGGCATATGAAAGTGACTGGAGAGACACTGATAGAATGAAGAAAGGAAAAAAAACTTTAGACATAACTAGGACAGGGTAACAGAGAAGCACAAGACTCCATAAGGTCCATTACCAACTTGTCATGGAGATCTAATTTATCTGAAACATTTTGATGTGAACAGTGGTAAACACCATAGACAATGCAAAGACAGAGCCACAAGCAGCAACTCTGGAAATCTAAGTGACGCTGCTTCTCTCACGTAACAGCAGATGGGGAGAGGAGAGGACTGACACCTAACCAGGACGGGACCTGCGGCGAGCAGGGCAGAAGAGAACTAGGACAGGAACTTGGTGGTAATTCCCTACTCCTGCATTCAAGGTTGTCACGAGGAATAATGCGTGCAGAGGGTTTCAGAGATGAAATGAAATTAAACCATTGCCTTGCTAGCTAGCGAAAGTCCGTCTGCTATTATTCAAGAATAAAATGGTGCCTATCAAAATATAACTGCAACTAAGGGAATCTTCCACTCATTTCACCCCATTTCTTTAGACACTGAAACTAAGAACATGGGAACTATGACACTGTAGTGAAGATCAATGTATTAACAAGCAGAAAAATGGGATAAACTGAAAGCAGGCACAAGATGATTTGTATTCACAAATATCTTCAATAGCAATTATAAAATGAAATTGGAGGAAAAACCGCTCCAATATTTTTGCTGCACATTTAAGCTTCTAAGTGAAGCCTCATCTCATCATAGTTTGGTTCTATACTAACTTATGCCACAAATAAAAAGTTAGCAACACTACCTGCAGCCCTCACAGGGGACAAGAATTATCATCAAGTACCACATACCCCGGGAGCAGAGTTACAACCTTGGACAGTCACATCTCAGCACTCTTTGACAGAGCTGCACGGTACAGTCTTTACCATGCAAGATGCATTTGAATGCTTTGGAGCAGATGAGTCACTTGCATAAAGTCACCCACCCAGGGGATTTCCAATGGGAAGAAGAAATGCGCTGCTCCTACAGCAGGACATCTTCAGAGCTAAGCAGCTGTTGCTTCTCTTACCCCTGCCACAGCAAGTACCCAAAACAAAGGTCTGAAGATTACAGATAGGCGCTACCAAGACAATTAATCAATCACCAAGCTGACTGGCCCACAACAGGGTCTGGCAACCTAAAGCTCCCAGGCCACATCCAGCCTGCCAAGGGATTGCATGCCACTGGTGGAGCTGGGACATCGAGGACAATTCTGCACAGGTGGGAGCAGCGCCACAGCATTCCTCTGCCTCCGAGAAGCTGCTCTGTAGGGCCGCCTGCTGCTGCCCCAGCCCTTCCTGCTCTCTCACATCGCCTCACTGCAGCTCTTACTTCCCCCCCACCCATCACCAGTGACTAATTTGGTGGCAAGGGTTAAGGGGGAGTAGCCTAACAGCAGCCCCAAGCATGGAGTAAGGAGGGCTGGGGCAGCAAACTGCTCGGAGTGGTGGCAGTGGCTGGGTCAAAAGCAGCAGCCCACCTTCAGACCCAGCTGCCTTATTTCAGCCCACCAAGCCTTAACGGTTGCTGATCCCCAACCTAAATGGCTCTCAGTGGCAGACTTTAACACTGTAGCTGCTGGTCCACAAACACTTGATCTTGCTTGGTGTACACAACCACCGCTTTTCTCCCAAAACTTCAGCCATGAAAGGCGAGGCTCAGATGGCTTTACCTGAGAAGGAAACTAGGACAACTTGAAGTCATGACTCCTGCTGTTTTAGAAGCTAGAAGGGTAAGAGGAGGGAGTTCCTTCAGTGCAATTTAGCACTACAGCAACATATGCATGCACAACTGCTACCTGCCTGAAAAATGGAAGTCTAATCCACTTGAAAACCCAGCAAGTAAATAACATCCCACTTTTCAAAGATGCTGCATAAACAGAGGCAGTGTTGGCATCCTTTGTCTTTGCTATTTGAGTCAACCTTTGCTTTTGCTCACAGTCAGTATATAACTACAGCAAAACCCAGTTTCAGCAACTATCCAAAGGACAGACCTTTTTGCTTATCAAGGGGTTTCAACACTATTAAGAGAACTCTTTAAAAGACCTAAAAGCAAAGGCAGAGCTTAGGCAGGATTTAACCCTCAGTTTATGCTGGTTACAGAACAGTATACCAACACTTCCAAAATGTAAACAGCTCTCAGTGATACCATTTATAACCCTGATTTTCAGTTTCAGAACCGAAGCAAGAAATGTGACAACTGACTCCAGACTACCTGAGGTTTTCCCTCATTGTATAATTAGCGAGATCCCACCAGGTTGCTCTAACATTGCAAAAATGTGTTTTTAAAAGCTTCTAATAAAAATGGTTTTGTGAATGTTTTTTAATATTGCAGTAAAAACACTCTGAGAATTAAGACAACTAAACGGAGTTTAACTGAAACAGTAGGAAGAGGTCTACAGTTCAGACAAATTTAGATGAAATGACAGAAAGGTCCAACAGTCGGATCAGAAAGGCACGGGGAGGTCATTAAGCGAGACTAGAACTGAGAACAGGGATTTCGGGTGATCTAACAGGTATCTCTTGCAGCAGGGCTCACTGGCACACCATCTCCAACAAACTTTTATCCGTGGAAACTCAGCTATTGCTCAAGTGCAGTAAGAACAAGAATTCTCACTCCTGGCATGGCATTGCACAGGATGCATGAACAAAACAGGAGAAACTGCCTCAACACTGTTGTGGGTTAGTAATATACTTAATGCACGAATACGCATTGACTGAGAAAACTGAACACCTCCCTACATGCAGGCATTCAATATGTATTTTAAGAACTGCTTAGAAGTACTATTTTCTCCAGAGGCCTGGATAGTTCAAAAGCAATCTCTCTGATCAATAGATGCCTTATAACCTTCCTAGAAGAGTAGTTTCCACTCTATTTTTCTTCCCTGAACTGAAGTGATATATAAAAAAAAGTTTGAAGAATAAAGGACCCAAAAAAATTAAAGCCAGACTACTGCACAAAAGAGCTCCCACTGGTGATAACTTCAGTTAGTACTTTACCTGCCAACTGGGACAAGTTAAGGAAAAAGCATAAAGAGCTGCATGTCCGCATCCACAGTCAGAGCCAGTTAGACACCCGCCCAAGTATTTAACCCAGGGACTGAATTTTAACCCTGCATCTGGTAACGGTTTAATATTGGCTTTTTAAAATTCATTTACATACCTGACAACTGTAACAGAACAGAACTCTGAAGGTTTTTGCACGTGCCCTCTTTTTATAGGCACATCACAATGAGCAAATATATTCCTCCACCTATGACAGTTCCAGCATACTGTATACAACCTTAGCTCCCAATTACAGCTGCAAATGAGCAATAGCATGAAATAAGACAGCCTGCTGGCGTTGTTAGTATTCTGTCTCCTTTAGGATCCCACAGGGAAAGGGAGAATCTAATGCAGAGAAGCCCTTGGCTCGTGGTTTATTGTGCTTGCCACCAGCTGTAGACTTCTCATCTCATTAGTTATTTTCAAATACTGTGGGTGAAGACAGCTGCAACCTACTTGAATCCTCAGCTCCTGGGTATTCTGAAGGCTGAATTTGGCATGCACTTTCTGCAATGCTTGGAAAAAACAAAAATCAGATTCTTTTCCCACAAAAAATCTCTTTAGAAGTGAGCTTAAGACCTGTTAACAGTGAAAAGAAGCATTCTTCATTCTTCAAATTGGGGTGTGTGGATTAAGTTTTAAATTTCTATCCAGCATGGCTATATTTTAATTCCTTGTGCAGCATACTAAGAAGCATGGCATAGAAAAGGGAAAGCTTAAGGACTGAATACAGTTTATCCAAGATTTATTTTAGACTAAATTTCTATTAATGCAAGAACATGGGGACACTAGCTCTAGTAATAATAAACACTAAAAGGCTCTTTAAAACCACTGTTTTCTACTCAGTAAATAGAAACCATTCTAAAAAACCCTAGAAACATGCAATAAATGAGGATGAACAAATTTTAGGTCTTAAAAAAAAAAAAAAACCCAACAACCCACACACTGATTTAATTTAGAAATAACCCAGAATTTCTTAGGATTATGACTACCTGTTCTGCCACAGAGCTGGAGCCTAGCACATTGAGGGGACAGTGGAAAAGGCCGCTTACTTCCAGCGCA